CCGTATATATAAAACAAACAATTTGCAACCACCCATTTGTCAAAACCTCCAAATAGACACAAATTGACCTGCAGAGTTTCCCATTCATGGTGTTCCCTTGCCAGTACAAAACACCAGACACAAGGAGGGGACAACGAATAGCTGCTCGAGTAGGTAAGGGGGAAAGAGAGGAGAAAAGAGAGTGGTCCCTCTTGATTCCTTTTTTAATTCAATTCCAAATTCTCAAAAAATAAAAAATAAAAAATTGGCAATCCCATTACTCTTGTAAAACTTTTAACAGACTTAGATAAATGATTTATTTCAATAAGCAATAATTGATATAATTCAGATAAAATAACTATATCAACAGAAATGACTACGAGGTGCCAAGTGTCCGTTTGGTTAGAAACTTTTTCCCTTGAAAGCCTGCTAAAATGTCACTTCTTTGACAGGCTTTCAGCAAAATCGCCTCTAAAAGAGGCGAGACAATTTTGCTTGAAAGTCTGCCAAAAATGATACTTTTGACACTTTTGACAGGTTTTTAAAAGAGCATTTCCCTCAAAAACATGGAACCAAACAGCCCCCAATTCATTTTGCTTACGAATTGTTAAGAGACAAAACTTGACGTGAGCTTGTATTACTTAGCAATTCATTTGGATTAATGATAATGTATGAAGCATTAATAGAAACAAATTGCTGCTAGGTAACTAAATATTTTAACTAACGAGATTTATTTGGTGTAACTTATAAGTTTTGAGGATAATATATATACCAAAATTTAGAGTTCTACCTGAAATTAAACTGATATTTTTCAGTGATCAAATCTAAAACAATAAAAAAATGGAGTGTTTAGCAACCTAGTATTGAGTTATTTTGTGTTTGGCAAAGACATTGTAGAATTGACCTAAACTTTAGGTTAAAATTTAGCCTTTAATTGGTTTTGTTTTGAACCACTTCCTCTTGTTTTTTTAGCTCGGTTCAAGCTCTAGCCAAGTCATGATCAATCTGGCCCGATTGTCATGGGTTTGCTAAACACACTCAAAATGACAACTTATACGCACGGTTAGGCCTGTCCATCCGCGCCGGCCCGGCCCGAAAATCCGGGCCCGGGCCGGGCAAAACCGGAGCCCGGACCCGGACCCGGGCCCAACCGGGCCGGGCTCCGGGTCGGCCCGGATTTTTTTCAATTTTTTTTCTTTTCTTTTTTTTTTATAAAAAATGCTAAAAATTAGTTTAAATTTATTATATTTTATATAACTATGTATTAGTATATACTTACAAATTATTATGTAATTATATATTATATATACATATGTTATATATATTATATATACATATATTATATGTAAATATATTGTATATATTTATAAGTTATAACTTGAGAGAGAAAATCGCATAAGTAGCCATTGCCCGTTGGGCCAATGGGAAAGAAGTAGCCGTTGTAATATACTATACTTATATACTAAGAGAGAGAGTATACACACACACACAATACATATATAAGAGAGAGTAGCCGTTGTAATATACTATACTTATATACTAAGAGAGAGAGTATACACACACATATTATACATATATAAGAGAGAGTATACTTATATAAGAGGGAGTATACATANACACACACACACACACACACACACACATATTATACATATATAAGAGAGAGTATACTTATATATACATATATACTAAGAGAGAGAGTATATACACACACACACACACATATATTATACGTATATAAGAGAGAGTATACTTATATATACATGTATAGTATAAGAAAGAGTATATATATACATACATTATACATATATAAGAGAGAGTATATATACACACACATATTATACATATATAAAAATATATTATATATACATATATTATACATATATAAAAATATATTATATATACATATATTATACATATATAATACAAAAAAATAAAAAAATAAAAATTACTATTCCGGACCGGGCACCAAAAAGGCAGCCCGGGCCAGGCCCGGAGCCTGGACTTGGCCCGGGTTTCCGGGCCGAGGCCGGGCCGGGGCCCGGCCGGGCCCGGACCGGCGGGCTTTTTGGACACCCCTACTACGCACGGTGTCAATATTAATTATTATTAATAATGAATCATAGTAAAAATTTTTCCTATAAGGACATGTTTGTTTCGTCAAAAAAATACAGAAAGTTGCCCATCAGAATACTGACGCTGGGAAAATTTGTTGTTTTCCTCACAATCGGATGTTTGGTTCGCAAAAAATAAAAAAGAAAGTGAAGGAAAAAGGGGGCGCCACATCAGACTTTTCCCCAAAAAATTCCAGCTCCAAAACGTCTAATTACGGAGGAAAACCTCACTTTTCCATCTCCGTAAAAAAGGCCTGAATCTCCATCCCCTTCTGCCATCTCGTTCTGGTCACCCCTCTCTCCCCCTCTCTCCCTCCCGCCCGAATCAACCAAGATTTTCCTCCTTCCCCTTTCCTCCTGCTTTCCAATCTAGGGCTCGACATCTTCTCTCGGCCTCCCCTCCACCCACGCCCTCTTCGGCATCGACATCGCCGTCCTCTCCGGCGATGCCCTCCTCCCCCTCCCCCTCCACCACCTCACCTCCTCCCCCGAGTTGTCTACCTTTGGTTCGCAGCCAATATTCCATTAAAACCCATTTTTCTGCACCCATGTTAGCTCTAACTGAGTTCATGTTAGTTCTACCTGGGGTCATGCTAGTTCTGATTTATGTCATGTGAGTTCTAACTTATGCCATATTAGTTCTAGTTTCTTTCGTGTTAGTTCTAATTTACATCATGTTAGCTCTAGATGCACTCATGTTAGTTCTAGCTGTATTTATGTTAGTCATTATTTGGGTCATGCTAGTCTTAGTTGGCGTCATGTTAGATAAGAATTGAGTCACGTTAGTTTTAATAAAGGTCGGTTAGTCTCGGCCTTGCTTTTAGCCTTAGTTTGGTTTCCTTTGTGCTAGCTATTTGTGCATTACATGTTGATTTTCATAACTTGGTGCTTGGTTGTTAGTTCCTGGTTATATGACCTGATGCTTGGTTTTTAGTTATTGGCATTGGTTGTTATGACACTAATAATATGATATTATGCTATGATGATGGTCGGATATATAATGTATGCAACCAAATTTAATACTAGTAATCAATTGATGAGATAATAAATACAATCAACATTGCTATTATAAACTTCATGGCGATGCAGATAATGAAGAAAAGGGCCTTTTCTGAGCACATTTCTTAAGTGTTGCTCTTTTCTTAACAGAGCTTTTCTTAACTGAGATCCAAGTTCTAAATTTCTTAAGTGTTGAGCTTTTCTTAACTGAGACATTTGGGTTATGCTAGTCTTAGTTGGCGTTATGTTAGTTCAGAATTGGGTCACGTTAGTTCTAATAAATGACGGTTAGTTCTATCTCATGTTAGTTCAGAATTGGGTCATATTAGTTCTAATAAAGGCCATGTTAGTTCTATCGTAGCTCATGTTAGTTCAAATTTACATCATGTGAGTTCTAATTCATGACGTGTTAGTTCTAATTTATACCGTGTTAGTTCTAGCTGCACCCATGTTAGTTCTAATAGAGGTCATCTTAGATCTACCTGGGGGTTATGCTAGTTCTGATTTATGTCATGTGAGTTCTAGTTTCTGCATCCATGTTAGTTCTAACCGAGGTCATGTTAGTTCTACATGGGGTCATGCTAGTTCTGATTTATGTCATGTGAGTTCTAATTTATGTCATGTTAGTTCTAGTTTCTTCCATATTAGTTCTAATTTACACAATGTTAGTTCTAGACGCGCACATGTTAGTTCTAGTTGTATTCATGTTAGTCATTATTTGGGCCATGCTAGTCTTAGTTGGCATTATGTTAGATAAGAATTGGGTCACGTTTGTCCTAATAAAGGTCGGCTAGTCTCGGCCTTACTTTCAGCCTTGGTTTGGTTTCCTTTGTGCTGGCTATTTGTGCATTACATGCTAGTTTTCATAACTTGGTGCTTGGTTAGTTCCTGGTTATATGACCTGGTGCTTGGTTTTTAGTTATTGGCATTGACTGTTATGACACTGATAATATGATATTATGCTATGATGATGGCCGGATATATAATATATGCAACTAAAGTTTATACTAGTAATCAATTGGCGAGGCAATAAATGCAGTCAACATTGATATTATAAACTTCATGGCGATGCAGATAATGAAGAAAAGAGTATTTTCTGAGCACATTTTCTATAAATTGTGTTAAGTTTTGGTTTGGTTTCAATATTGGGTTGTTCAAGTCATGGTTTCTCTCGAGTTGGTTTTAGCCTTGATTCAGTCTTGGATATTACATTCTGGCTATCGATGTACTTGTAATCAATTGGTTGTTATGACATTTAATTATGTCTTGTTCATTGAGCATTTTGGTTCTTCGTTATATGAGATGATTATATATTTTTGGAATTAGCCCCCTCAAATATTTGAATATGTTGCAAATCACTACCTCAAATTTTTTTTAAAAATTACAAATTAGTCCCTCAAAATTTTAAATATTTTTATGTGACTGTTGATAAATGTTCACCTCTCAATTTATGTTAGAAATAAATTTATGCTATAAGGATGGTAAGCACACCATGGTGATCATAGTCTACTTTCTTCTTTTTTTTATTTGAACCAAACACTAGAAAGTGAGGGAATCTATTCACACATTATTTATTTTCTTCTTTTTTCAAGTTGAACCAAACTAAGAAAAGTGATGGAAAGTACTTTCAGGCCATATTTTTTGGCGAAACAAACACAAGAAATACTTTTCATAAAAATAAAGGAAACACAAAAAAGTGAAGAAAAATAAGTTTTGAAAAATGAAGGAAAAGAACCAAACAAGCCTTAAAAGTAATAGTTAATAGGTAATAGTAATAATGGGAACTTCCTTTTCAAATCCAATATATAAATATACTGGCCCCTGAAGAGTGATTGCGAGGAGATTTGGAGGAAATCCGGTGGGATCTTTCTTTTGCAAGTGGGTCGGATTTGTTTTTTCCAACAGCATCCCTTTACTATAAATTAAGCCACCCCAAAAAAATAAAAAACAGACAAAACAACAAATAAATTAATTTATAAAGACAACCCTCATCCTTTAACTTTCCTCTTCATCCTTTTCCTCTTCATTATTCACATCATCAAACGTAGTCTTTCTTCTTCTTCTTCTTCTAATGGCTATAGCAGCTGAGTCACAGTTCCATGTCCTTGCTGTAGATGACAGCCTCATGGACAGGAAACTCATTGAGAAGCTGCTCAAGGTTTCATCATTCCATGGTAAATTTACTAAAAACCCAAATTCAGAAGTACCCATTTGTTGTTTTGATCATTTTTAATCTTATTTGGATTTTTTTTTATTGTTTCAGTCACTACAGTTGATTCTGGGAGCAAAGCTTTGGAGTTCTTAGTGTCCCCTGATCAACAAGTAAATATCTTTACTGATTTCTATTTGCAAATGATTGTTTTTTCATGTAAATTTGGTTGCTGATGTTTGATTCTGATATCAGGAGATTGAGGTGAATTTGATCATTACAGACTACTGCATGCCTGGGATGACAGGATATGATCTGCTCAAGAAAATTAAGGTACCATTTTATTTTATTTTGCCTTTTTTTGGCTAAATTTTAATTGATTATGGTGGTATTGTTAGATTTTTTTATTGATATTGTTTCTGGTTTCTGTGAACCAGGAATCTTCATATTTGAAGGATATCCCAGTTGTGATCATGTCATCTGAGAATGTGCCATCAAGGATCAATAGGTGAGCATCACAAATCAAATTTAACAAAGTAAATCTTAAAGCTAATGGAGATTTTGATGTTGATCACCTACAAAATGTAGGACATGTATATTTTTCCAAATTTGGGAAAAGTTTGAAATTGATTTATTTGTTGCTGATCCCAGATGCTTAGAGGAAGGAGCAGAGGAGTTCTTTCTAAAGCCAGTACAGTTATCAGACATGAGCAGGCTCAGGCCTCATCTAATGAAGAGCAAATCCAGAGAAGAGAAGAGCAATGAAGATGAAGATTCCAGCAGCACTGAGAGCGTTACAAGCAAAGAAAGCAGCAGTATCAAGAGAAAAGCAACTGATGAGGAGATTTTGCCTGAAAAAACTAGGCCAAGATTAAGCACCAGCTTGACAATTGAGTGATGCTCGAAATAATAAAAATACTGTAACAAAATCTTTTGAGAGCTACCCAATTTTGTTGTGATAAGATGGTAGAAATATAGGCAACACTGGTTTTTTTTTTGTTTGTTTTTTTGGGGGAATTAAATTAGATGTGGGTTGGTTGTACATTTGATGGGTTATGATGAATGATAGAAAACATGTTCAAATTTTATTTAATTGAGATTTTAGTATAGATCTTAACCCAATTGTGCTACTACATAGTTTCTGAATGTAAGAAAAATCTGTTGATTATTGACAAAAAGGAGAACAGAGCATTGTTTGCATCTTTGTATTGCTTTTTAATGGACTCAGATCCTCTTTGCAGCATATAATAATTGAAAAATTCTCAAGGAAAATCAGTAACTATTAACTAATATACCTCAAATGAAAATGAGAATGAGTATGATTTTTAGTGGACTATAATGAAGCCTAATATACCTTCAATGAAAATGAGAATGAGTTTGATTCTTGACAAAGCCCTCTGACCAAACTATTCATATTTATAGTTCCTCATTTCTCAAATTTTTTTTTGTAAACATCATATTCGTGGAAAAATATATATTTTTATTCATAAAACTATTTATTGCGCCAAAAGCATTAATGTATAGTGTATATAGTGAGCAGCAGGACTATTGCAAGAAGGGGGTACGGGAAAAAAAATTCCATTCACAGTACATGTATTTCTAGAATGTCAAAGTCAAACAGGGGGTAAAATAAAAATTTCCTTCTTCGCATTTATAGTATTCAGAACTTTCCAACAAAAGGCTTGGCTAATAAACAAGATAAGCTTTGATGATTCTCTTTATGGTCTGACTAAGATACAAACTAAAACAACCACTCGTATGACTTTATCAAATAATAATCAAATCTTGAAAAGATTCTCTCATACATCACAATATCTCCGTCAAATCTCACTATGCCACCAACAATATCTCATAAAATCCTACCCAAAAAATATAGATCATCAATGACTTTGAACAAGTTATCAAACCTTATAATGATTCTCCATACATCACGAAAATCCATCAAATCACAATATACCAACGACATGTCATGAAATCCTATTGATTTAAATTGAATAGAATAGCAAAATAGGTAGCTTCTAAACCATTGGACTTAAAAAAGTAGTCCCTGAATTTCAAAAAACCATTAACTAATCTTACTAGCGTTATCCTATATGGCATTTATTTTATATATTGTCGGACTACAATACTCCATAATTTTCACTTTGCAATAGTAATTAAATAAAGTGGTTGCCAGTGGTAATATAATCTCGAATCATTTTATAATCCAAAACTCTCATACTAGTTTAACAAGAACATGGATATAAATCTATGCCGACTTTGTACCCACTTCTTCATTTTTTCACCTGTACTTTTCGCCGTCCATCTTCTAATCCTGATCTCGCCCAAGCTAGCACACCATCATATCATGCTTCAAATTATAACTCATGTTCAAATATTTAGTAATATGCTCTTGCATTTTTTGTTTCCCCTTTCTCACCATACAAGATGTAAAGAATTCTACTTTATGGCCACGAGAAGAAAATCTATACACATGAGAATATTAAATATGAGCTGCTACCTCATTTTGCAGAGCTAACGAGCCCTACAACAAAAGTCGTAAGTTATAAAACTTTTCTTATCATCTCGCGACACATTTGTGTTGAAGAGCGGCACAAAATAAAAGTGTGGGTAGAGCATGTGTGGAGAGGGTCCTTTTACACAAATGAAAATGTGTCGCGAAACTCGCAATACATACATATGTTGATGATGGCGACACATATATGTGTCTAGTGTTAGAGTTTTATGGAAAAGTTTTCCAAAAATCTGGGCTAAGTTTCAAACTTTGTATATATGATAGTATATATTTTAATAACAAAAACACAATGTAGCCTAGTGCTCCAAATCTTTTTGAACAAGTCAATGGTCCTGGGTTCGAGGCTTGCCCTCAACTCTTTTTATCTAATATTTCCCCATATATTTGGACCAAGACCTAGAGTCGGTTGGACTCGGACCCGACCTGCTCGGACTCGGACTCTTACTCAATTAGACCTGGACTCAAACTTAGTCAGACTCAGACTTGGTTTCAGAATTAGACTCAGACTCAGATATGGACTGTAGACGGTAAAAAAATACCTCTATGGGTCTACAGAGAATTTGTCTACGAGAAGAGTTCGCACGCCCAGTTCTCTGACACGGACCTAAACCGCGTAGACGTCGACTGGGCTCAAATCCAGGTTCGCCTAACGGTCGACTCGCCAGCATGAGTCAGGAGCGATCAGGATGGCGGAAATTTGCTCTTCGCTCAACTCGCCTGCCCGAGTTCGGAGTCGAATCCGCCAGCAAGCCCCAAAACCGTCAGTACAGCTGGGTATCCACTACCCCGCGCGCTGAGGTGGGCCTTCCCACCTCTCTCGACCCAAAGGGAGAGAGAGCACAGTACCCCAGGGCCGTCAAAACGGCCACCCACAGTGCGCACAGCGCGAAGGAGCTGGACAGGTGTCGAGTCAACCTGAGCATTCATAAATGCGACTCACCTCGGCTGTCTGAGTCTGGAGCTGGGTCCGCCGGCACTCGGCAAGCTGGCTAGACTCACTCGAGTACTGTACACCTACTTCACCGCCTCTCCTGACCGGAAAGGAGAAAGCGTCGTGCTCAAAGCACGCCGGGCGGTCACGCACAGTACTGGTGATCGGACAGACGCCTCATCGATCTGCGGACTCATAAATGCGGTTCATTAATGCTGGTCAAATCCACTCGGATAGTAGTCGTTTGTTGCCTCACATACAAGAATGGGCCTTCCCATCGTAGGTGACAGGACATAAAGCACAATCCCTGGAATGACCGATCATGGTTTCGAGGAACAGCTAGACGTCTCTGAAGAAGATGTGGTCACATCCCACAATTCAAGGAGGAGTCAAGTTGTCCTTCTCCCATTTAAAAGCCTCTTCCGGCACACTGGAGAGGAGGTCGCAAAACTTAGGAAAAAGAGTTGAGACCAAGCTCTCTGCACAACTTTCTTTGCATTGCAGCACTACTGCTTAGTTCCGAGCTCCGATCGCCGGCGAACTAAACAGACCCGAACTCTCTCAAGTTGAGCTTCTACTGCGAACTGAAGCTCTCCAGCAACCTCATTCGAACGGTCCAAGGGAAGCAGACTCGACACGAGCATCGAGCGAAGCATCCTGTAGCCACCTAAAAGTCCCCACACAAAACAAAGAGGGCCTTCCCTCTGCTTCTGTTGTAACTATTTGATCATTAGTTTGTAATAAGCCTTCTTATAAATACAAACGAAACTCCCTCTTTCGGGAAATCAAATATTCACCCTACAGAAGATGGCGACCACAGTGGGAGAAGCTGTTTCATCGAGTGAAATGGTGGTGGCTCAGTTTGATGAGGTTGCTGTAGGGACGACAGTGGAGTCCCTAGAAATTGAGTTCGACCAGGCCAAGTACGAAGAGTACTTGTCCTCCTCCTCCTCTGGTGGCGATGCGTCCCGCAAACGTCACAGAGTCGTGCGTCGAGGCCGACCTCAGACGGTCAAAGCCTCTGCACCTACGGGTTCTACCCGAGTCTCATCGGAAGAACCCGTTCCCTCACAATCGATCAACGCCAAGCCGGGGGTCGAGCGCAAAGGGCAAGGGTCTGCCAAATGGGTCGCCAAGCGATCCCCGCAGACACCTACCCCGAAGGGAACGCCGGTTCACTCCGGCACAAACCACGCTGCCACAGCTCGCGGTGACGTTCTCCCCGTTGGGAGAACTAACCAACAGCGGCGGCAGGAACTCGTCAGACAGGAGGTCCAAACCTCCGTTCCTCATAACGGCCTGAGCCATCATACGGGCCCGAGGAACGCTAGGCGAGAAGGCAAACTGCCCGACATTGGGAGGCCCTCCAAGTCAGGAGCGCCAACTGAGGAAGGCAGAGCCGCCCGCTCGGGAAGACTTCGCTTCTCAGGTCATATCCCTGATGCGAATAACTCACTTCCAAGGAGTGAGCCTACCCGAGTAGGCGAATCCTCGAAGGCTGGCGAGCCTCGTCATAACCATTTGACGGATAAACGTAAAGGTAGAGAAGTAGGCGAGTCCTCGCGAACCCGTTCTTCCAGGCGAAGGGGTGAAACCCGCCCACGTACTGGAGCTCGCTCAAACGCGAAGACTCGCCAGTCAAGGCGAGATCGCTCGACTCCAGCACCAAAGCATTCCATCCAACGCGCACCAGAGGGCGCACCCAAAAACCTCTCGTCGACTCACCAGAGCGACTCTTCTGAGGCCGGGGGTTGTCACCAACCGCCCGTAGAAGACCTCAGAGAATATTTAACTCGCAAACGCACTATCCATGAGGCGAATCCTCAGTGCCACTGCGAGAGACTCATCCACACGGTCCTCGCCGACTGTCAATGCGTCGGAACGGCGAGACCTTCGGTGTTTGGGAGACTGTCCCAACAGTCCTCTCGACCAAGGCCCTCCCGTCAAAGGCGCCGTCACCAAAAAAGACGCGCTGCCGATGACTTGGAACTCTCATCCGCCACGGTTAACATGACGGATAAAGGGAAGGCAGTACTCTCCGACTCGCCAGACTCGGATTCCGCCCTAAGACCTAACACTCGGTCCGCTCGACGCCGGCAGGAAGGCATATTCCAGCGAACCCGTAGTCACCGGGGGGTAAGTATTGGGTTTGACTATTCCAACCTAATACCTCCCTCCTGCGGCGAAGATGAGGACCATTCGGCCGCTGCCACATCTCAGACCTCGCGCTCAAGCCAAGACGCGCAGGCGAAGGCACACATGACCAATACCAACCACGAGCAGACAATGGCTCAAAAGTTGGAGGAACAGCAGGCGACCATCGACTCTCTAAGAGAGATGATGGAACAACTGCTGAACAAGAAGAAAAAGAAGAAAAGGGCCCAACGCCCCTTACCCCGGCAAACTAGAGACAGGGAGTGGGTACCTCCCCTCCGTCCCGTGTCTGAGGCGGAGGATAATCAACATTCCGATTATTCCTCCAAGACATCAATAGGAACGTCGCACACTGCGGATAGCACCCGTGACAAGAGGTTCGATGAATTCCAAGACCAGCTGAACGCGCTGAAGCTTCAGCAAAATATGAACAAGCTGGGGGTGGTACGTCCCTACCCCACGGAATGGGACACGGTCCCATACCCAGCGAAGTTCAAACCCATCAGCTTGTTACAGTTTGATGGCAAGGGGTCACCCTCGCAGCACATCTATTATTTTATGGCGCAAACCGGATTCCTTACCGGGAATGACGCCATTCTCACTCGACTGTTCATAGGTACCCTCAAGGGGGTGGCCTTTGAATGGTTCCGCAAATTGGAGCCCGGCTCTATCAAGGCGTGGGCCGACGTTGAAAAGCTTTTCCTCGCCCGCTTCTTCGACGACGACACCGAGGTGTCAATGGCCACTCTCCTTGCTGAGAAGCAACGGAAGTCGGAATCGGTCAATGACTTCGTGAAGAGATTTCGGAACCGATCAGTCCACTGTCGGGACCAAGTTTCCGAGGCGACACTGATCGAGATGTGCCGCAACAACCTGTCGATCCATATCTTGTCCAAGATAGGGGCGGTAGAGACCCGGACTTGGAAGGAGCTTGTTCGCCAAGGTGAGCAAGTCGAAAATATGATCAAGAGGCTGGAGGCCGAAGAGCCGCAGTCCAAAAAGGGAGCAGCAGAGCCGGCTGCGCCAAAGAACCCTCCCCGATCGAAGGGAAAAGAGGCTATGGCCGTAGACTCTGCCGCGGCGCCAAAGTTCGTTCAAAAGCCGAAACCCAGGCAATTTGAACCGCGCCCCCAGCGGCAATATGATTTCAAAGAAGACCAGGTGGTAGCTACCTTCGACACTCTACTCAAGAGTGGGCGGATTAAGTTACCGGAAGCCACCAAGCCTGAAGAGGCAGACAAAACCGGTGACCCAAGTTACTGTGCATATCACAGATTCCTTGGGCATCACACAACCAAATGCTACGTCCTCAAGGACAAACTCCAGGCCCTCTACGACGCGGGGGTCTTGAAGAAAGAGAAGGTCCAAAAGCAGGTGACGGCGAACATGGTCACTTTGAGCTTTGGGACGGGTCTCCCAGAGGTTCAAGCTCCGGCGGGGATAATTCCTATCCCCAAGGCGATTTTGAAGATCACTAACGACGATCCTCACAACCAGCGGGAGAAGGGTTTGGTTCCACAAACTCTGCCATCAGGGCAAGTGATGTGGGTCCATCCGGACCTCCTCGACGACGAGCAGTGGACCGCACAGCCTTCCAAGGAGGCTAAGAGGAAATATTGCAACGTTGTCACCGCCATCCTGGATACAGACGACGCGGCGATGACTGCCTTAACCGACTCTGAAGAAGACACCAACGTCTTCGCCACGAGAGCCGGAAAGGAGTTTGCAAAACAATATCCCGCGAGGACGGAAAACCCAGCAGGACCTCCCGCGAGGCCGGCCGCAGCAGTCCCTCCCAATCCAGATGAGCCAAGTTCAAGCCGCCAGCCTTACCGGTTCAACGTGCTCGCGCAATTGAAAAGCATACCCGCGCGAATCACCGTGTACGACCTCCTCCGGTTGTCTAGGCCTACCCGGGAAGCCTTACAAGAGGCGTTGGCTGACGCAGAGGCGTTCTCGACCCATTTCTCGAAAGAAACGGAGATCGAACAGGGCTGTACAACTTGCTGCCAAGTCTCCGAGAGACAGATCCCCTGCATCACTTTCACCCCCGAGGACATGCTCATCAAGAACACGTCCCATGACCGGCCGCTGTACTTCACAGGATACGTCGGCTCGGCGAAAGTGGATCGGATCCAGGTTGACCCGGGGTCCGCACTGAGCATCGTGCCCCTGAAGCTAATCAAACATTTGGGGATACCGTCGAAGCGCCTAGCCTCGACCTCGACTACCATCTTCGGCTTCAACGCCACTGGGACTCGGCCACTCGGCAAAATCCGCCTGAAATGTCGGATAGGCGACATGAAGACGGAGGTGACGTGCTACGTTATCGATGCTGAACCCTCCTACAACATACTCCTGGGGCGTCCGTGGATTCATGGCAACCGGATCGTTCCATCCACACTACACCAATGTTTGAAGTATGTGGACGACTACGAGCGAGTAAGAACGGTAGTGGCCGACAAACATCCCTTTAAAGGGGTCGAGAACTACTTCGCGGATTCTCTGCTGTACCAGGACCCCGAACAGCCACCAGTGGAAGAACTGGAGAGTGGTAATGAGGCGGACAGCGAGCCTGAATACGGTGACAGCTTAATTCTGAACGACTTTGAGTCAATTGTAATTGGTTACGAGAGTCACCATGTAACCAACGCCGTTCAGGCAGAGAAGCTTATCATGAATGAAAAATCCGACCTTGCTTATTTGTCGTCTTGCTCCTCGTCCGAAGATGACGCACCTAATAACCTATGGTCGACACTCTACAGTGAGTCTTCTCTACACTTGCCGGTATGTTCGTCATACGTCTTCAAGACGCGACTGATCGAGCCATCGCGAGCTGTATTCGTCGTGCCAGCACGGAAGAGGTATCGAAAAGACATCATCTTCGGTCGAATCGATCGTCCCCTACGCACGCTATGGGACGAATCTGAGGACGAAGACCCAGCACCCCAGTTCTCGCAATACAGTCGAGTAGCGAAACGCATAATGAGCAACATGGGGTACGACCTCACTCGCTTAGAGGGCCTGAATTACGGCCGAGGACGCAAGACGGTCATCAAACCATCCTACGTCCCCAAAGGGAAGCCCTCAAATTACTTCAACAGGACTAGGAGAGGCTTAGGCTACTCCTCCTCCTCATCGGAGTGTTGTTTTTACGTCGACGAAGATTCCGATTACGCATGTTCAGGGGATCAGTCGTCAACAACCTCGGCCTGGGACTCCGACGTCAGCGTAAGGGATCTGTTCGATGGCCTTACAGTCAACATGGCTACAGTAGACCCCGCCGGAATGGCAGAGGACGAACGACTTCCACTTTACGACGAGACATGGGATCGCCATGTTAGCGCCCAGTGGAACGGAGCTGGGATGAGAGAAATTTTGGGGGGAACGATGGAAGGAATAAAATTTTGGGGGGAACAATGTAACGAATAAAATTTTAGGGGGGAACGAACGATTTTTTGGCGACGCGGAAGAATAAAAACTCGTCGTTAAAAATAGACCTTTTAGCTACCCACAGCAGGCACGACGGGAAAAAGTGACTTTTAGCGACGCTAATGGAGCTGGGATGAGAGAAATTTTGGGGGGAACGATGGAAGGAATAAAATTTTGGGGGGAACAATGTAACGAATAAAATTTTAGGGGGGAACGAACGATTTTTTGGCGACGCGGAAGAATAAAAACTCGTCGTTAAAAATAGACCTTTTAGCTACCCACAGCAGGCACGACGGGAAAAAGTGACTTTTAGCGACGCTAATCTAACACGTCGCGATAAATACATACTATTAGCGACGCCAACCCTAAAACGTCGCTAAAAATATATATTTTTTCTGACGAAAATAAAAAAACGTCGGGAAATCCATACACTTTTACTAAAGCTAAGTTAAAACGTCGCTAATAATATACACATTTAGCGACGCTAATTATAAACGTCGGGAAAAAATATATGTTTTGCCGACGCTAACTAAAATCGTCGGGAAAAACATAATTTTTGCCGACGTATTTAACCATGCGTCGGGAATAAGCGTCGGGAAAAGTGTAATTTATTGTAGTGATTGGATTGGAATGTTGAATATGTGCATATTGAATTGGATGTTGGATTGAAAGTAATGTGTGTATATTTGATAGGATGTATTGGCGTGAAGTTTGTGTTGGATGTGTATATTGAGTGTTAATTATTTCAGGTTAATGCAAATGTACACGACAATATAGATTTGCTAAAAATAATTTTAGTATAATAAAGCATCATAGACAGATTTTCCGTCTAGGAAGCAATCTAGATGGAATTTTCGCCTAGGTTAATTACAATCTAGATGAAATTTTTTTCTATGTTGCTTCTGAGACAGAATTTGGCATTCCATCTAGGTTGGTCTCCATCTAGGGTGATAGTCTAGGTAGATCACCCTAGACGAAATTCCGTCTTGCGTCGACCTAGATGGAAATATCCAAGATGGAATTCTTTCTAGTTTGATTAATCTAGATGGAATTACGAGCGGTCTATATAGTTTCTTTCGTCTTGGTTGCTCGTTCTTTTATAGTGTACGTCCCTTTATCTTAGTTTACAATAATACGAGACACTTCATGGAGAAACCAAGCAACTATATCCTTGGCTCTTGTTTTGCCCAGTTTGAATAAGAAACAAAGTTATTAGCATGGTAGGATTCAATCTCCTAATAATGATAAGAATTCAAAACTATATATTGAAATTACATAGAATCAAAGACAAAATTCTTATATTTTCCTTCTTTGCATTTGATTTCCAAACTACCTCACTACCACATTTGAGGCCTATGGGGACGGTTGTGAACCGTCACACTAGGCATGGAAACCGTCACACTAGGCCTATGGGGACGGTTCAACATCCGTCTCGTTTACAGCCGTGCTCTTAGGTCTAATGTGACGGTTTATGCTTCTAGTGCAACGGTTTGTAAACTGTCATCCTTGATACCATAAGGGAACGGTTGTGCTAAGGGATCGGTTCTTAGTTTAGAGCAAGTGGAACGGTTGTATATCAAGGGGAACGGTTTTTAGGTTCTAAGCAACGGGAACAGTTTGATAGCAAGGGGAATAGTTTTTAGGTTCTAAGCAATGGGAACAGTTTTATAGCAAGGGGAACGGTTTCTATGGGGACGGTTTTTATACCAAGGGGGACGGTTTCGAGCTTGACTTAAGAAGACGGTTATATTGTCTATGGGAACAGTTTTGTTTGTGATCTATGAGGACGATTTTTATACCAAAGGGGACGGTTTTCATTTTTTACCGATCAAAACAAATCACCCAGATATCACACATCAGTCCATCACATACAAAGAAATAATAGTCCAAGTTTTACACACAAACTAACCAAACTTTAGCCTTAATATAATGAACAATTTATTACAACGAAGAACAATATTATAGCAATAGGATTGAGATAATTCTATACAAGTTTTACACACAAACTAACCAAAGTAAGCACATATCACAAATCCTCCATGATTAAAACAAAGAGCTACTACTTAATCAAAAGGTCAAAATGTCTCTATTGAGATGATTAAGTTCTAAATCTTCACAACAAATAAATCCCCAAAGAGCGACAAACATGGATCTTCAGATGTTTTCCTGCATACATCAAGATAAAAAAATGAGTAAGCACAAGTAGAATGAAATGCACTGTAATGGATTCAGAGCATCCATTCCTACTTTGATCATTACAAGGTGATTTGTCTATGGAAACATGTGTTTTGCCCCCCTGTTTTAATGAGCACCAGTTCCTTGATATAAGAATGTGTATTTTGTGCAGATAAGCAAGCCTCAGTGATTTGAGGGTGCTGCATTGTTACTTGGGTGTCCAAAATGATTTATTATTGACTTTGATTTCCGTACGAAACTTGAGGAGGGTGCTGAGCAGTTTTTGTACTTGATGATGTCCTTGTGATCACAAATGAGTGTTTGGTTGGCAGGAGATAGAGTTGTAGCAGTAATTAATATATGTGGATTAATATCTTTCGTTGCAGGCCACGTATTGGTATATATAACTTCATTATCAATAACCAAGAGATCATGTTTTCATAGGAGTTTAGTTGCGTTGGAACTGTTTTCCTTATTGGCTACCTACCAACCCTTGAGATACTTCTCATTTGAATCTATGACCCATATGTTTGTCAACAAATACTAGTTTACTGAAAGAATGAAATCTTTTCCTGTGAAAATTTATCTTTAACAACTAGCACCTGAATCATGCTAGTACAACCAGCATTATCCACACAAATAAAACTAAGAGAGAAACAATAGAGAATACACCTAATCAATGGTAATCCAATCCTGAGTTTCCTGCCAACACAATTTCAATCTGGACAATCAAATAGCAACCATGTTAGCCGAAATGAATTAAGCAGGCATCTTTGTCTATAGTTTTTCAAGCCTAACGCTAATACAGATCGCCCTTTGCTTCTAATGTGAGTCCATTAACCGCTAGTCTAACGTATACTCTGTCACAGTATGTTGTGCTATCAAGACAGAGGGCGTCGAACTCACATATGTTCTTCACTCCGGTTAATGTTTTCTTCATACATTAACCTAGTTGGTTATTCCTTAATGTATGAACTCAATTTCAGATCAATCACGGTTATTGCAATGGCCACCCCTTGAATTTTCTTTCTCCTAATCAGGGACTTAAAAGCTCGTGATTATCTATCATCGCAAATTTCCGATGGATCATAATCCTCATCAGAAGCAACATCCCATGCAGCCACTACCTTTTGCTTGGTAGAAAGTCAGTTTTTTTTTTACTGGTGAAGTCCCCGCATTATTGGTCATGCAATTTGAGCTCGAGCAGAAACAATGGATGTACGTATGTCTTAACATTTAGTTTTTTTCTAAATGTTTCATATTCTCCTTAACCGAATAATGTTGACATTTGATTTAGTTATTTTAGTCATTTGCAAATCAAAAAACCATAACATGCAACACCTAACTTTTTAAGCTTTGGCGCGCAAATGGATTCAAAAAGATGTTTATGAGAATCTACACCTTTTTATGTATTATTTAAATCTGTACCTTTTTATTTAAATCCAAAATGAAGATGGATCAGGAGGAGGCACAATAAAGTACATGGATCCACTGTTAACGTCCATACATGAGATAAAATTAAACACTTGCAGGATATTCTCAACATATCTCAGTATAAAATTATAGCAAATACATCATAAAGTTACCTTTAGTTGGAGCTGTGAATAAGAAGAATCGACCATTCCAAAGTGGAATTCCTTGTATCATACCTGAAATTTACAAAACCAAACGCATGAAAAACTAAGAGAAATTTACCAATCCAAATCAAGTTGTCATAATACACAAAAAAGAAAAAGAAAGATATAACAAAAGAAAAAACTACCTCATTTCGTGGCTGATGGCTGCTTGCAGATGAGCGAGGATGATCATGATTTCGAGCACTACCACCTTGCTCAGGTGATCTTGTGCGGGCAATAAGTCTTGCAATAGCCGCCGGATCAATTGTTTGCCCAAGTGTTTCAGTCAAGAGCTCGGCGAAACCATGAACCAAATCTGCCTTCTGCTCTTCAAACTTTTTTGTCAACTCTTGCTCAACTTTTTGTGATATAGTTTGAACAACAGATTCTGGAACTTGCTCAGAGGGATCCATGATCTTTTTATTTTTATTTTGGAGCATGGTTTTAGTGACACCCCTCCCCCTAAGACGTACACGTCCAGGATGTTCATCTTTCTTGACTAAATCCCATGCATCATCAGCTTCATCTTGAGATTTGAGTTCTTCTAAAGCACCCTGCATTAGCAAAATTTATATTTAGTTGCTATGCATGTTATATGAAAATTAGGACCTAAAAAGAAATATATGAATATTAATATTTAGGCTCCATAACATCAGCACAAACTGTTCGTACTCTAGAGTCACAGTGATGGGATGGAACCTTAACATTCTGCTCTGCAACCAACATAGCATATCAGTAGAAAGAAAACCCAAAATCACAAACATAAACCAAATCCCTTTCCTCTTAATCCCTTCCTTTATATTACCAATGTCACCAACCTTTATATCAACACCGATAACAGCCCCACCCTTCTTCGGTGGCCCTAAACTCTGACAAGCCACCTAAACATGCACTACGGAAGAAAATTAACTGGACCTCATTTTAACAGAAGCAAGTAAAACCTTTATATTACCAATGTCACCAACCTTTATATCAACACCGATAACAGCCCCACCCTTCTTCGGTGGCCCTAAACTCTGACAAGCCACCTAAACATGCACTACGGAAGAAAATTAACTGGACCTCATTTTAACAGAAGCAAGTAAAACCAATTTAGCAAAGGTTTCAGTTTTAAATATCTTTTAGGGGGTTTTACCTATATAACCCGAAACCAACCATATTTGCAAATTTACCCCCACAAATCTACATAGAACGGAAGGATAGATTAGCAAATATCTAGGTTTATTGGCTGGAATGTTAGACAAGAAACGATCTTTTCGGTACTATTTCCAGAATTCTTAACCAAAGGAAGCAACTTTAGTGATATTTCTTTTAGCTGCACCTTGAAATTAAATCCAATATAGCACAGTTGAGCAATTTCTCTCATTAAATAAATAAATAAATAAATAAGTGAATACCTGAAGCCAAGCACCGGGAGCGCATCCAAGATCGAGAACCGAAGCGCCCGCACCAATCAATTTGAACTATTTCTGCAACTGAAGAAGCTGCAAGAAGGATTGAAATATACATGCTTAAAATCAAATATCAACCAAGACAACAAAGCCCTAATTTATAAAATTAAATTTCAATTTTGTTAAATAGATAAAAAGGAAAATTTGAAACCCTAGAGTTTGATGATTGAAAAGGAGAGAGATAAGAACCCAATCACTGGATGCTAGAGAGGGATGGCCTTGAAGTCGACGAACAAAGGGCTGACGGACGAGGGGAAGTGAAGGAGAGGCGGCGAAAGTGAGGAACCGACGAGGGGAGGGAAACGACGGTGAAAAGGTCGGCGAGAAGGAGAGGCGGCGGAAGTGGGGAGCCGAGGAGAGGAGGCTGCGGTTTTCCTCCGTCGAGGAGAGGAGGCAGTGGAAGTGGGAAACGAGAAAAAGCCCTAGGTTTCTTCGACGGGATTTTGATCGGGTGAAAGATGAGGGGTACGGTCATAGGAAACAAAATTAAAATTGTTTTTTTTTAAGTTTGGGCGCTAACATAAAAAGCCCAAAATAAAGCGGTCCCCTTAACACAAAATTAAACCGTCCCCTTAGCTTATTATAAAACTTTTGTCTGAGCCTAAGTCAAGCCCAACGTTTTAGTTTAAAGCGTTGTCTTAAATTTTTTTCGTAACGGTTAGAACCGTCACAAAACCGTCCCCTTAGGAAGCAAAGGGAACGGTTTTAAACCGCGCCCCACGAACCGTCCCCATAGACCCATTTTTTGGTAGTGCCTGAAGATTTAATGTTGATGTATTGAATTTTGCTTTAAACTCTGAACCAAGGCAAACACGCCCCTCAGTGTTCTCTTGCGTCTCGATATGTAGTGGGCTATTGTCGCTCCATCTCTCTTGAATTATAAGAGAGATTCCTTCCCATAAGAAACCTAACATGCTTTTCTTTAGAATTGAGCCTGATAATAGGTCGATCTATCGTTCTTCTCTACCTGCATTGCTCTCATGGAAATTACAAGAGCGCTATCCTACACCTCCCTATAATTAAGTTAAATGCAACATTCTCCTTCATCACTTGCTTATGATTTAATAGGAGAGCTAACTTTCCCACTACCCCCTACATGCCTAGTACCACCATCTCCTCTATATCACTAATCTAAGATCCATAAAGAGTGCTACCTTTTCCTACGTACATCTCCCTACTAATCAAGTTCATTTTTACTCACTACTTCACGGAGTAGTCACAACCTTCACTCCTGACATACTAAATCTCTCTGGCATGTTCTGAATGTATCCCCTCCATGATAAGAAAAAACTTTTTCTAGTTACAATTTCTATGTATCTCTATATCCAAAATGTTTCAGGACTCTTCAAGAACATTCATATCCCTCACTACTTAGAAGCACCTTCAATTGCCGTATATTTGGTATCACTTGGGATAAGAGCATATCATCTACGCATAGAAGCAGACATAAACAAGTCATTGCTAATCTTGTTGTAATAATTAGTTGACCATTGACTACTCATGTAACTCAACTGACCAGCCTGCTCCTACTGCTTACTACGTACCTCCACATCCGAATCCTTTCATCGACATCTCCACAAGCCATTCTCACACCCAAATTAGTCAATACAAAGCACACGTATGCTCAAACTCTTCGTGAATATAAATGTGAATTTTCTCCATATAGCAAGATAATCCATGCCTATTATCTAGCCCTAGCATCCTAACCTTCCCTCGCTGTCAATGTAATTAATACGAGGAGCAGTCAAATACACTTTGCACTATGGTAACGACGATAACATCAATCACGTTATGGTTCATGTTTTATGTATTCCTACAAGTGGCCCAAGCTTACATATGGACCAATTTAACCCGACAAGCATCGAGCCATAACCTACGTTAGCCTTTGTAGGATTCGTGAGATTTCATCATTTTGGGCTTCAAAATCATGATGAAAGAAGGTTTTAATTGTCTAATTTAAAGGGGACAAACGAGATCTGTTTTGACTGAAATCGGATATATAAAGGATCCTGATTCATAGTACAAGTATATTTTCTAGTCTTCGATAAAAACATTAGTTGTATCAATTTATTTATTTTCGTTTTTGTTAAAGACTCTTTCTACATGCAGGAAGACAACTTTTGATGAATGAAATCCTAATTTATTGGTTGCAGCCTTTTTATTAGATTTTTCCTCTTTGTTTCTGAGTTCTTGTATTTTGATCTAATTGTAGCCGTAAGAGGATTGCATCAATATCTAATATTACCACACTGTATCCTTCAGTGAACTACATTGATCATTTTCCATATGTTTTTTCAAACAAGATCATAACCCTTCATCAAACATTCAAACGATTGTGATTGACCACACAATTTTTTTCGCTGTCAAACTTCAATAGTGTCACCAATTCAAATAATCCGAAGATTGAGAAGCTTACTCTAATAATTATTACACTTTAAGCTTTTTTTCGTGCCTATCTAGCCCTAATTAGCCTAGATCTCATCCCTCGTGTTAGCACATGCAAGCATCCGTGCCTTCCGACTAGGGGTGGAAATGAACCAAATAATTAATAAACAGTTTGGTTATTATTTGTCCATATATTCGGTCATATTCGATTCGGTAGTTCATTTAATAGTAAATGAATATTTTTTTCCGTATTTGGTGCATAAACGAATAGAATTTGACCAGAGGTATATTTGATTCGTTTGATTATTAAATATTCCTTTATGTTTTCCTACTTCTAGATTATTATATTATATTATCTTTTACATGCGTCATATTGTTTTATAAATATTGCTACTTAAAAGTATTATATTAATAATTTATAAACGTGCACTATAATAATTCTTATATTGAAACATCATAATAAAAATTAAGTAAAATGTTATAGAATATAAAAAAGAAAAGACTTCAAACATGAATTCGACACCTCATGGTTGAGGATCCTATGACTTAACAAATGTGCTATTGAGATATTTGTGAACATTTAAAAATATTCGTCTGATTAACTAACCAAATATGAACACCCTTTCCCTATTCGACAGGAATTCAAGTTTGACTTCGAATTCGTGAAAATTAACCGAATATGAATATGAATAACATTGTATTCAATTCGATTTGGTTATTTCCACCCCTACTTCCAACGATCCCGGGTCGTCCTCCCCATTTTATACGGCCCCCACTTGTTGCCATCATCGTTCTATCCGTCAGCACCAATTCCATGTCATCGCCGGAGGTGCATGGATGCATTCAATCCAATTTCATACACACCTATCATTGGACAAAAAATAAACAAGTACTTGTCAGTGGATGACAGCCCAAACTCCCCTCTCCTTTAGTTTTCTCACTAGGGAATTCAAAGTTCTTCAATGCAAAGCCGCAATCTCATTTAGTCATGTGGATGTGAGCATGACACCTTCATAGTTCAATTCTTTCACATCTCTCTAAAGGTCGGGGCAGCGGGGGGGGAGGAGCGGGGTGTCCTATAGAGCACTTCCATAGAAAATCATATAGGTCAGCAGAGAAAAATAACTGTTTGACACAAATTTTAGTAGGAATGTATTACTATTGGCTATTAATATAATCAGATTGTTTATCAGTGCAAAGGCACCATAGCAAATACGTTAATAAAGTTTTATTTGTAGTAATGGCTTATATGGATACGTACATCAAGAGTTGTATTTGACCAGATAATTTCATCATGCATTAACTTTTAAAAAAAGCTCTCACTACACAAAGACCAAAAAAAACAATGAGTAAAGAAAAAGCCTCTGCAAGGCTTCGTTTTTCTCCTCCCTACCCTAATAAAGGGTTCTTTTCTCTGTCGTTCTTTCTCTTCATTGTTGTGGACAGGATAGCTATGATCACTCTTTGCTTTCCATCTTTGGAATCCCACCTAGCTTTTGCATGAACCTTTCCTAATTCAGCTACCATCCAATTCAATGTAGTCCTCACCTTCTAAATTCATTGCATCCTAATCCTCTGCTGTCTCTAAGCAATAGGTTCTTTTGGCTCACTGGGGCCTGGAGGGTTAACAGGTGTTTCTCATGGCCGAACTTAGAACACATTGGCATATGATAATTACACTGATCCTAATCTAATTATCCAAATCCTCTGACTTATTTGTTCTTACGGATGATGATGACTATATTTGTGTCCATATCATATGCACCTTACTTATGGGGGGAAAAAAAATCTATTTCTGAATCTGATATTTTATGATACCCAAAAATATGAGAAATTGCTCTGTAAATTTCACATTGGTTTAATGGAAAATTTTATTAATTGACCAAAAGAAAATATATATGAAAAATGAGTCTGATATTTTACATAGAAACATATGTGATTTTGGTTTATATTACATGAGGAAAAAATTTTAGAATGGACCAGTTATAGGATTTTTTTAAGAACTATTTACGTACAAGAGAATTCTTAAAGTACTTAAATTATAGAATATCTCAAAAATTAATTATTGCACAAATAACATGCATTATAATACACACTATAAAAATTAGATATTAATATGAGTCGAATTAAATAAATATTTTCTATAATTTTTTCGAATTAGACAATATAGTGCTCATTTTATATGAACCTTTTTTTTCCTTATATCATGTGGAGATCTTTAAATTTGATTGAGTAGTTTATTGTATATATATATATATATATATGCATGTCTTATGCATTTTCGAAATTGCGCATTGTGCATGTCACGAGCCACCCTTATTGGTTACTATAAGTCTAGATGATTCACACCATTCTCATATTCAAACTTGTTGGTCATGGATTAGCCACTCATGCTCAACTAATGAATTAGTCCATGGATTAGGTTGAGAGAGCATAATGTTAGGCACACATAGAAAGTGAATACCGCACGTGACCTCATTGCTATGACACTCCAGACACGGAACACCTTTCGGAGCCAATGAGAGATCCACACGCGCCAAAACCCATGACACTTGTTACCTGCTCACTTGTGCTTGAGGCTGTTCTCTGAAGGTCATCCTTGATAAAAATTAGATTGGGTGACAAAAGTGTTGTTAATAATTCCCACGAATACCCAACTAAACCAAGCACGCGTGCTGGTTTAAAAAACTACAGAAATGTAGATAAAATCACTGAAAAATTGAATGGCAACAGTGAAAATATCGTCAGGTATTTACTAGGGCAACTAACACTTTTGTCCTCATACCGAAAGAGCCCACCAGTTGATTTTGGGTCTAAATATTCGTGCGTGCCAACGTTAATTGGTAACGACATCGACAACTCGACGCGTGTCCAATAAAAATCTGAGGATGACGTCATTTCAACAGCATCATTGGTTGCTCCCTCCTTCTCCTCCCCCTCCCCCTCCTCCCACGCTGCACATGTGGGGAGGTGGAGATAAACACAAGCCCGATTTTACATTTTAGCCCTCATAGGTTCATAAATTTCCAGCCATGTCCGGCTCCTCCCCCACTACTAAGCCGCCATACACCCCACCACAATATAAACCGCCCCCTTCCTCCAATCCCCAAAAAAAAAATTTAACTCCCTTTCCCCCTCCTTTGTTGTCTCCCTCCTCTCCCCCCCCACACCCTCGTAAGATTGCAAGGGCCGCCTATAAATTATGACAAAGCAAACCCCGTCCTCCCGCCCGGATTCCGCTTCCATCCAACCGACGAAGAGCTCATCCTCTACTATCTCCGTAACCGCTCTGCATCGTTGCCTTGTCCCGTCCCTATCATTGCAGAAGTCGACATTTACAAGTGCGATCCGTGGGATCTCCCAGGTTAGCGTTTCCTTCGGATATATTGTTGAGTTCCGTCTCTTATCCGAGCAAACAATATCCGCATATTGACGAATGTTTATGTTTTGTAGACAAAGCCATGTTCGGTGATAAGGAATGGTACTTCTTTAGCTCGAGGGATAGAAAATACCCTAACGGAGTCCGGCCGAACAGAGCAGCGGCATCCGGGTATTGGAAGGCGACCGGAACCGACAAGCCGATCGTTGCGAGTCGAGGGAATGAAAACATTGGCTTCAAAAAAGCCCTGGTGTTCTACAAAGGGAAACCTCCTAAGGGCGTCAAGACTAATTGGATTATGCATGAGTATAGACTCTCGGAGGCGAAGAATAAGACCAATTTAAGGCCTGTGAAGCTCAAAGACTCGCCGATGAGGGTAAGAACAACCAAAATTTACTGTCATCGACAAGCCGATCGTTGCGAGTCGAGGGAATGAAAACATTGGCTTCAAAAAAGCCCTGGTGTTCTACAAAGGGAAACCTCCTAAGGGCGTCAAGACTAATTGGATTATGCATGAGTATAGACTCTCGGAGGCGAAGAATAAGACCAATTTAAGGCCTGTGAAGCTCAAAGACTCGCCGATGAGGGTAAGAACAACCAAAATTTACTGTCATCTCAATTTCCTCTGTTTTTCTTTGTATTTACTAATGAGACTGTTAAAAACTTAATATTTCAGTTGGATGATTGGGTGCTTTGCCGAATTTACCAAAAGAGTAGCCATCTTCAAGAAGACTCAAATGGGATTGAAAGCCCCATTTCAAATACACATAACTCTACACAAGAGAATGACCTCATGATGCACAAATCCTTCTCTTTATCAGAGCTACTCAATGAGGCAGACTTCTCTTTGCTCTCTAGATTGCATGAAACTCCAACTGAACTAGAGATGGCGCCCGTATTGGATAAGGCTTCATTTGGGTACACAAATCTGAACCATCCCTTCATCAATATGCACCCATTTTCAGAGACAGAGTCATCATCAGTTTCTATTACTGAGAACAGTTTAAAGAGGCGGAGGATTGGAGAAGAGGGGCCGAATTATTACCCAGCATCTAAGAAGATCAATAATAATTCATGGGTTTATACAAACTTTCCCAATCAATTTGATAGCCAGAATTTCTACAGCCAACACTTGCTTCTCAACCCTCAATATGGGGATGCAGTATAAAGAAAAAGGAGGGAAAATGGTAGAAGTAAGTGGAGAGAATAAGTTCCCATTTGATTAGTGATAGGCTTCCTATTTTTGTATAGAAGTTTGTGTGGTTAAGATTAAGTTTGCCTCTAATGGTGTCTGAAAATGGACACCACATTAAGATGTTAAAAAATACCAGATTCCAAGAACTATAGATACGTATATATATATTATATATATAATATATACTATATATATATAGTATATATATATATATATAAGGTATAGATACATTCTCTGCTTCCCTTTTCTTAACAGTTTGTACGTCATAAGCAAGCATGTCTGTCAGTATGTCTTATGCATCCAAGTCGAGCAGAATTCTCCTACTGTGAATTAGTATATATATATATCATTATAGTATATTATATATAGTATTATTTATCATGATGAGACAATTTGCACGCTTGTTGAATCTATAACATATACCTAGTGATATACTGATATATAGCTCATATAATATATATATATATATATATATAATATATACTATGATATATATTAGCTATATATGTGTTGTGTTCCCTTTTTTTAAAGTGTAATGAAGGAAGCATGGTGTAGTATTGTCTTTAGCATCCGAGTGAGAGAATTTGCTACTTGTTGAATTAAAATATCTGTTAATGTATACTATGGTGTGAGAGATGCTCTTTTGTCTTATTATGATCTGAAAATTCAATGTAGGGTACAACAAAGTACTAAAGAGGAATTTGAAGGCAATCCTTATCTACATAGAGCACTTTCACATTTTGGAATCATTTGGAGGACAAGGATTGGTGAAAAACGCCTAGCAGTTGAAAGTGAAGTCGGATGATTCCCTTTCGATTTGGAATATACTATTGCTAATGGACGTTAATAGGATAGTAATCTGAAAATTCTTAGGAGGCTAATAATCATTGGCTTGAATTTGATGTTATTGTTAGACCTTTTTTTTTTCATTATTTTGGTGAACTTTTGATGGCTTGAGGATCATGGGTTGAACATCAATGTTGATGATCATATGTTTAATACAATTATAAAAATAAAAAAAGTAAAATACGTTTAATACTAATTATGTTGTCTGTTAAAGTTTAATGTAAAAATTTATGGACAAATTTTGAAAATCGACCGTTTTTCAAAGTTAATCGGCAAAATCGACCGTTGAAATTTTTTTTTAGCAAAATCAACATTTTTCTGCACGGGACTGCTAGTCCCGTGCAGAAAAGGGTCGGTTTTACAATTTTTTAAACTGCACGGGACTGCTAGTCCCGTGCAGTGCGGTTCTGCCCCCCACCCGATCCCAATCCACTTTCTCTCTCCTCCAACAATCCCCTCCTCCGTAAATCTCTTCCCATTCTCCAGACCCACCAACATTTTCCCCTCTTCTCCTCTTCCTCCTCCTCCTCCTCCTCTATCACACCATCATCATCCATCAATGGAGACATGTGCGTCTCTATCAAATTTACTAAAACCCATTCCAATAAACAAAACTCGGATAGCAAGCTAAGATTTTGAATGGAATTAATTGGAAATACCAGAACCCATGCTGTCCCTCTGAGATTTGTTCTGCCAAGGGAGGAAGTAGTTGGGGCTGCTGGAGATGGTAAAGATCTTGACAACAGAATCCAAAGCGAGCTCAATGGCGGCATAGGCGTCGGTATGCCTGGAACTAACAATGGGCCGCTCGCTGTCCTCTTGTAGAATTGGAACGGCGGCGGCTGAGTTAGCGGCAGTGCTGGCATCGTCTCCATTGATGGATGATGATGGTGTGATAGAGGAGGAGGAGGAGGAAGAGGAGAAGAGGGGAAAATGTTGGTGGGTCTGGAGAATGGGAAGAGATTTACGGAGGAGGGGATTGTTGGAGGAGAGAGAAAGTTGATTGGGGTCGGGTGGGGGGCAGAACCGCACTGCACGGGACTAGCAGTCCCGTGCAGTTTGAAAAATTGCAAAACCGACCCTTTTCTGCACGGGACTAGCAGTCCCGTGCAGAAAAGGGTCGATTTTGCTAAAAAAAATTTCAACGGTCGATTTTGCGATTAACTTTGAAAAACGGTCGATTTTCAAAATTTGTCCAAAATTTATCTTCATGTTTTCTTTATTAGTTAAGAATTCCATGTTTATTAGGGGTCTTTGATTGCATCTCCTTGAGGATATTGTACATGTTAAATATCAATTAATATTGATGTTTAGATGTTTAATATAAAAATAAAAGTTACTGTTGATCTCATTATTTTAGGTAGTTGTCAAGCTCTGTTGCTCTCAAATTCAAAGCAATGATCATAAACAACTGCTTCATGCTTATGGGCAAGCTTCAGTAGGACTTTTTATTTTACTATGTGTGATGCACGTGTCTTGCATGTGGTCAAATAATTTGATTATTTCATTTGGGATTATGTCTTTATTTTTTTTCGAGAAATAGTTTTATGTTTTTACTAATTCATTTGTGAAATAGTTCATGGGTACCATATAATTTATTGCACAAAATAAGATCGTATTTTTAAACCTCTACTTGATGATGATAAAATGAAGATAATATTTTGTAGACTGATATCAAACTTGATAATGCATTAAATTTAGTTATGCCTTATAAATTTTAGAACTTTGATCTAACAAACATATGAAAAATTCCAACTTATAATTTAGGACGTAGGTCTAATAGACATATCAAAGAACTTTTATACTCTATAGCAAATGCATACCTGCTAATACGATCGGAAATCCATTTAAATTCATACATGAGAAAATTCACGTGAGACCAACAAAGAAGATGAGTAAAATGATCCAAAATATTAACTTAATAATAATTATTATTATATATTAATATGTTAGTAATTGCTAATGACGAAACTAGTATGATTTTAAATAGGGAAAAATGTGTCCAGGCCCCAAAAGTGTAAACTTCGTGTGACTAGCCCCCTTGTACTTTGCCTCATGTGTATAAGCCCCAAATACGCATAGTATTTGTGATGAGGCCCCGAAGTATCTTTTTGCAGAAAAAGCCCAGCAGAAGTTACGATCTTGCCCCTCTGATGGGACTGAGCAGTTAATGCGCCCCATTCCTTTTTAGGTACTCTTCCTCTCTTTCTCTCTCTTCCACCTTGGAGCCTCAAAAACTCTTTATCTTTCTAATTGCTGTACGGATTTCAATAGTTCTAGGGTTTTCGTCGGGAAAATGTCGTCCAAGGAAGAATACAGTAATGACTACGAGGTCGTTTATCAAGCCCAGTCGAAGAACAACGACGGTTCATCTGCGGTTGGCAGCACGGAGGAAGCTACACAAACCCTAATCGAAATAAAAAGGAGGCAATACAATGTCGAGACTAGAAAAGGGGAACGACAATGGCTGGTCGTACCAACAAACCCCCCTCAAAAAAACAGTAAGTGTTATGTTATTCAGTATTCGGCAACGGCAATGGTTAGGTTTTACCCCAATATTGTTAGTTCTAGTTAGAGTCCAATGTTAGTTCTAGTTTGAGTCCAATGTTAGTTCTAGTTTGAGACCAATGTTAGTTCTAGTTTGGGTCCAATGTTAGTTCTATTGAACATGCGCGTTAGCTTTATTTTGTTCCCGTTACTGTTAGGTCTAATATGAGTTCATAGGTCTTATTGAACTTACAAATTCGAAATCCATTTGCAGGGAAAAAGTTGCTCTAACAGGTGCAGGAGAATCACTAAGGTTAACCGCCAATATCAGGGCCTATTGGGAATTCATGGAGCACATTATTGGACCCTAGAGGGGGGGGGTGATTAGGGTCAAGAGGCTATAATTATGCAATAAAAACAATACAAGCACACCACAGAATTCTAATGCAATCAAAATAGAGGAGATAGAGTTAGGAATCGTTATCCTGTGACGCGCGATATGTTAACGAGGTTCGGTCCGCTGACCTACGTTCCCGCTCCCCACTCTCGAGGAGAAATCCACTACACAATCCGGTTTGGAAGCCGGAACTTTGTCTACACAGCGATCCCCTCACGATCTCACACTACACAGTTTGATCTACACAAGATCACACTCCCTCACAGTTGATCTACACAAGATCACACTCACAAGATAGTAAAAATGGTGTAAGACTCTCTCTTTACAACGTCCCTATGGCAAAGAGAAAGAGCACACTGAAGCTGGGAAGTGAACACACAAAAACTTAGTGAAAACAGGTTTTGAAAATTTAAGCTCTGAGAAAAACAGCGTCACTGGTTTTTGCAAAAGCTGGGACACTGAGGAAGAAGAAGAGGTGGAGTTTAAATAGGAGAAAAACAGCTATTTAAACCCATCCCTTAATCCCCCAAAATCTGGAACAAAATCATCGCTGAGATCTGTACTGAGCGGCGCTGAAAAAGGACCAAAAAGACCGTTTGAATAATACGATGGTCGACCGACGGAAATTTCGGTCGACCGCTATACAGGTCGAAAACTAGAAAAACAAGCAGAGACTTGTCTGGTCGACCGGTGCAGTCGACCGAAGGAAGCTCTCAGTCGACCGCGACGGTCGACCGATGAACTCTCTGCTTCCCAGTGAGGAATGAACATTGGTGCGGTCGACCGGTACGGTCGACCGCATTCTGATACATCCCAAAATACTGTATTTTTGACTCAACTAAAATATTTGGAAAATATTTATTTGACCTCTGAAAATTATGAAACTTTGCAAAAAGTTTTTAATGCTAAACAAAAACTGTTTGGAAAAGAAATTTTGCAGATAGGTCCTCATACATTTGAACAATAGTATTTTGTGAAAAAACGGTTAAAAACATAAGTACGAAAACGTGTGTGTGATATCCCAATAGCTTCAAGTGAAGTCAATAACTCTTTGCCTACATTCTAGCACTAGAGAGAAAAACAAAAGATAACTAATATCCTCATATAGAATGCAATGCTTGAGTCTTGATATAGCTTGAATTTGATGAAGCTTCTATTTGAATTTGTTGTTCTTGAAATAACGTTGCTTCATCACTATGCCTCCTCCTCCTTTGGATATCATCGTTGTAGCGCATATTCCATCCAATCCTCCATTAGTGGTACTAACAAGCTTGATATATGATTTCACTACATTTGTACTTAAAAATCCATTAGTACCGATAATGATGGTTGTAAAACATCATCAAAA